TTTTTACAGGTGTACAACTTATTGACAGCAATTGCAATAATCAGCTATGCGATCTGTACCTTAATCAATGAGATTTTTCCCATCACTGTTAGCTACAGTTTTCCCCCTCCTGCCCACCCCTGGTAACCACTAATAAACTTTGATTTCTGTACATTTGCCTTTCTTGTCTTTTTATGTAAGTGAGGTCATACAGTATTTGTCTTTTTGTGACTGGCTTATTTTGCTCAGCATAATGCCTTCAAGTTCCATCCATACTGTAGGAGGTATCAATAAAGCACTTTTATCTAAAGAAATATCTCCATCTCTAACCATTTAATCAAGTTTTATCATTATGTATAAAATGAGGGAAACTGGAAAAAATTAGGATGCTCATTATGACATTACATGATAGTATTATAATAAACAAAAAAGTTCTGCATTGAATCTTTTTTCCCAAGATTTTCATTAAATTAAAATATAACACTTCATATAAATAAGTACATATTCTAAATTAATTGGGTCTATGTTAATAAAGTCTTACTCTGAATTTAAATCAAATCAAAGTCTAAGGAGTTGGATGTGTGCTTTCCTCTTTCTGGTTACCTCTTATCAATGGTGAATGGACCATGACGGGGACCAGTTGTCTTTGTATTTACTGCAGACTAAGTACACTGAAAAATATCAACTATTAGTATTGTAGTGTCTATTCTATAAGCACAAACAGGTAAGGCTTAATATCTCCAAGTCTGATTGCTGGAGACCTGCCTTCCTAAAAAGGAATTGAGCTCCTGCAAAGTTCCATGGAAAACTGTCACAGTCTGTGCTTAGGGCAGTAAATCCTGACTGAACACAACGCTCGGTCCCCAGCTGTCTAGTGAGGCTAGAGGAAGGACTGGAGCTTTCCTATACATGAACACTGAGCTAGCAGACTAGGCATAAAGCCAAGGTTCTGCATGCCATAGGGCAAGAATCCACTTCAGTGTTCAGGTGCTTCCTATCACGCAGTGTAAAACTCCCACTACTCAGTGGTTGATTTCCTCTCTAAGAATCCCACTGTATCCCTGCTAGATCTCTCCTAACTAACCAGGAATGCAATGGACAATGGGAGACCCACATACCTTCATGAGTCTCCTTGAGTTTTTTCCCGTTGAATGCTCCTCTAGCAGCTTGCCATGTGTGCCATTGTGCCAATTTGCTTTTATACAGAGCAGTGCTTATTTTCATGCTCACTGTATATTTTATAGACCCCATTATGTTGGTTTTTAGCTAAGACATAAAGTTTGTGGTCACCCTGTCTATGTCTAAATATGGTCCATATAGGACAAAAATTAGACAAGCCTACCTTACAACTATAGTTGACATGAGAGGCTCCTTTATGGTTTTCTTCCACAAGTGGCATCTCTTCCACCCATTATTTTCATTGCTGTTGAGTTTTCTTTTCCATATGAGTGTACTGCTTGGCTTTGGTGTCAGATTAATCTCTTCCAGCAACTGCTGTCTTGCTAAGATTCTTTCTAAGCCGGAGAGTTCAGAATTTTGACCTGGCAAGAGGATGGCATTAATCCAATTAAACGGTCCTTTCCATCTTTGCATAGTAAATGTAGCATGGCATCAATTTGAGAAAGAATATTTATGCCATTTAATAACTCCTACTTAGCCCTGCCGTTCCTTCATTCCAAAAATATTACTGAGCAGCACTTAGGCCTTAGCCTGGTCCTAGACATTTAATAGATGCACAGAAAATAAATGAATAAGTGGAAAAACAAGGTGTGCTGGTACCACCACAAACACTACTGGTTATTTTTTTTTTTTTTAAGCAGAAAAGAATTTTATTTAAGGAATGTTGGGAAGTTGATACAATCAATGGGAACAAAAAGAACCAGACATGGAGACTATTACCTCTATATCCACCTACTGCCAAATTGTCTCAACTACTGGTTATTTTTCAACTATTCTCAGACTAGTGGCAAATTATTGTTCAATTATTTTTATCTTTAGGCATATTAACCACACTCTGTATTTACATCGCAACTATTACTTCACACTGACCTCAGCTGTTCCCTAAGCAAAGTGCCCATCTGTGATGAAGCCCAAGGAGCTACTACTAGAATGTACATCAACACACTGCTTCTTTCATCAAGACAGTCTTGCTACAAACAAACAAACAAAAAAGTCAAGAGCGAAGAGTGTGTTCAGCAACATAGTTAACTTATGTTATAGTACAACCATCTTATCTCTTCTCCAGCTGGTAACAATTTGAGAGCTAACATCCAGTTTGCAGACCCCACTTCAAGTAGCTCTGCAATCAATTTGGGTGTGTTAGAAAATGAGACAGCTGCCACAAATCTAATGCAGGAAGAGAAACTGAGCCTCAGAGAGATTCAGAACGACCCTGCAGAAGAATTAGATCAGAGTTTGTCCAGCTGAACCACTGATAGTCCCTCCCACAGTGGAGTAATGGGCAGAGACCCCAAAGTACCAAGCATTGGCTCAAGGTACCTTATCCTGTATATCTGACTAAATGATGTAATAACTTGGTGAACAGTTTGTAATTCTGCCAAAAATGATTGCGTAGGTCACAATCTTGCAAAGGGATTGCTTAGTTTACTATGCAAATAGGGTGTGTAAAACCACAAAATAGGATTAAGTGACCTTGAGGGATTGGTTGATTACTACGCAAATAGAGCGACTGTGGTCTACCGAGGGAACTGGTCAGTTCATGGTCTGGCTGGGAGGGCCATGCCTTGAATTTGAATATAAGGGCTGATCTCAGAGAGGTTGAGGGGGATTTAACTACCTTCAAGAAGAGCCTGGAGCAGAGTGCATCCTTTGCACTCAGGGTCCCTGCACTAGGAACCACCTAGACACAGGAAAGAGAGAGTTGTAACGCTGAAGATGGCTCAAGATGGTGAGAAACGGTGGCTACCACAGCAGAGCCCAGCAGCAGAGAAACGGCAGCAGCAGCAGTATGAGCAGCAGGAACTGCGAGACTGGTGCAAGGCAGCTGCAGTGGGCTTGCTGACCCACAGAGTAACAGAGAGCTGAGCACCACCAGCAGGAAGCTTGCTAGTGTAGTGGGGTGCTTGCAGGCACTTGTTGGCAGAGCTTAAGAGCTATAACCCTTGCTGGAGCAGGGCAGAGGCCCAGAGAGGGGCCTGTCAGCTGGCATGGCCAAGAGAAGGACCGCCTGTGGGTAAGGCTGAGAAGAAGCTGAGAGTTGTCTTGGTGAGAAGCTGCCTGATTGAAGAACTGTATTGTATCTCCTGAATTGTATCACGTTACTTCCAAGTTGATCCTGATCCTGAGTTGTAGCCTGTTAGCTTCTGTAATAAACCACATATGGTGAGTATGGGCTGTGAGTTCTGTGTGGCCATTGCAATGAATTATCAAACCCAGCAGAGAAGTTGAGAGTGCCACAGGGAGGATGGCTGGTGTCAGAAATAGTGAAAAATTTGGAGAGTGGAGGTGTGTCTGACCTCTACGTCATAGGAATCAGCTTTGTGCTGATCTTGATCCTAATTCTCATCCCTCCTCCTGAATGTAGACAGGCCCTTATGCTACATTACAGGTGTCTACATTGGGAGGCTGGGGGAACAAAACCTAAATCAAGATACAACTGGATTATCAGTAGAAATTAAAAATCCACTTCTGCAATCTCACATAAACATTTACTGCATTTCTAATTCTAACATTACATTTTAGTTACAAAAATAATACATGAAAAGATTCTCACTGGAATAAACAAAATTAAATAACTCAGAGAAGTTTATAGAATTTTTACCCTAAAAAGGGAAAGCCTTCCTTCATCTTTCTCCCTCCAATCTCTGTCATTTCTCCAGAAGTAGTCATTGTTCTGAATTTGATATGCATCTTTCCTGTGCATTTACATACATATTTGTATGTACAAATAATATGGTTTTCTTTTGGCATAAATAGAATCATATTGTGTTTCTTGTTTTGCAGCTTGTTTATTGAAACTCTACAGTATGTCTTGTCAATATTTTCATGTCAAACCTTCTTTTTCATGGCATTCCATGATATGGATGTATCAGGTTTATTTCATCATTCTGCTGCTGAATGACATTATAAGAAATGCTCCAGTGCACACCCTTGTTCTCACATCTTTGTGCATGTGTGAGTGTTTCTCTAGAAAAATAACTAGAAGTGGAATTGTGAAGTTGAAGGGCATGCATATGTAACGGATGTCAAAATGTGTATTTTTCGGTTGTCTTAGTTTTGTCCTGAGGCCCCAAAGACAGAAAATCCAATATCTGCCACATATCCACCTATGCACAACACATCTAAGAAAAGCTAAGCATTCTTCAAGGCTGCTGGGGTTTGACATGCGACAATTTCTTAAGGCAGAGTTCTGCAGTGTTGCGTACTGTAGCATTTCCCCTCCTCACTGCTCTGGCAAATGAAGGGACTTAAAGAGAATACCTGGAGAGATTTACTGTGTTCCCTAACACCTGAAAAAGTAATGGTGAGTGGATGTGCTCTGTCACTAATAACTGTACTACTAAAGGGGACTTTATCACTTCCTCATCGCCAGCCACTTTTGTGGCACATCCTCTCTCTCTGATCCTAACAACCCAGAGTTAGGTCAGACCTCATCCCCAGCCACCCTTATCCAGGTCATGGGGTACCAGCCGTAGGCTCAGGAGTCTGCACAACTCCCTGTACTTTAGACCAGCAAACCCCTCTCTCCCTTTCTACTTAGGCCCCAGGGGCCAAGTAACAAGGTAGAAGGACTCTGTCCCTCTTTATCAACTGCCCATGCAGCCTTTCTCTGACCACCAACACCACAGCTGGTGTCTTCACAAGTTAAGACTTATTCGTGCCAGCCCCTGCTGGGTCACTGCCCCTGTGGGTTCATTAATTCTCTATAACGGTGCACAAAATTCATGGAGACTATTACCTATACCTACAGTTACCCATTTATCATAACCAGAAAGGATAAAAGCAAAGAGATGCATCATCAGGCAAGGTCTGTAAGAGGTTCTGGCAGGCCAAGGCATCCATTGTCCACCCTTTCTCATGCATGGATGTTCTCATCAGTCCAGGAAGCCCCAAAGAAGAAGTTCCAAGGTCTAGTATTCCATAGTCATTGAAGTCCAAGCATATGAATGAATCAACAAACATGCAGGATTGACTGCATCATGCCCCTCTTCCTTCCTGAGGCCTGTTGCCAGGATGGAGCCTGTGCAGCCCGTATTTATTTACATATGTTTAACTGTTGCCTGGCTATTTTATAAAACAAAGAGCCCATGATTGCTAGTAATTACCAAGGGCTATTTTCAAAACCAGACACAAAAGGCCAAATCGAATTTTTTGTCCTCCAGGCTGGTACCAGAGCTGCCTGTGGCTACAGAGAAAAAGGGTAGTGTTGGAAGTTAATTGTTCTTTTATCAACTGGGTGAAGGTATGGGGGACAGGGTTCAAATGTGAACACCCTAGAAAGTAGTTGGTTTTCAGTTATCCTGAAAATAGGATTTCAAGAGGACTTCCATCAAGGGATGAGGCAATCTCAGCTGAATAAGATGAAAGTGTAGCATAGAAAGGCTGAAGGGAGGAAGTGTGAAGGAGGGGAAAGGTTTGCAGGAGAGGATGCAAGTGAGAAAACCCCAGCAAGGGGAAACCCCTAAAGAAACCACCAAAATGCCCAGGAAAGCAAAGGGTAGATTTTGAGAGCTGCCACACCCAGAGAGGATGAATGCCAGATCACACAATATGATATTTTACCAATCAAGAAAAAACTTTTCAGCATTTCATCTTGAGGAACAGAGTTTTTAATTCTTATGGCATCCAGATTTCTGGGTTCTACGGAGGTTGAGGTGACCCACCCAAGCTATTGCCCTGAGATGATCTTTGAACCTTGACCTTTGAGAAAACTGGTTTTCCAAAAGTCACTTTTAAGTCCAACAATAGTCTAACCTTGAGCATTGTGCTCTTTTGAAGAATTATCTATGTGCAGTTGAGGCCAACAGCCCCCGGGTACCGTTACCAACCCCCAACTTGTAAATAAAGTAGCAAGAGCCCGAGATAAGAAAAACAAGGGGTTAGGGTTGCTATGAGTCGGGTTTGGTTTTTGGTTGGGTTCTGCAGACCACAGAACTAGTTAAGGCCAAATCTGGCCTGCCTGACATGTGCAGAACCATCAGCCCCATCCTCTAGGTGACCCCGGAACTTTTCTCTTCTGGTTGGAACCAAACTTTAGTGGTCCAAGATTGGGGGTAGACTTTCAGAAGTGAAGGGTCGAAACCTAAGATTCGGTTTGGGAGAACCCCTTTTGGACTGAGCAAGCGCAGATGAGGGAATCGTCCCAGAAACAGCTTTTCTGGCCAGACCAATCAACGACCTTGCTCCTTCCCACCAGAATCCTTCCTTGGTTCTTGCCCCTAATAAAAACTGATTCAACCATTGTTGAGGGAGCCATCTTGGCAGTGTATATCCCAGTGTGCTACTTTGCTTAGCCAACCAAATAAAGCTGCTTCTTTCGCTTTCACTCATTTTGTGTCTCTATGGCCACGCATAGCGAGAC